CTGTCTTCTCAAAGCACATCTGTCAAGGAAACAGTGAGAAAACTGCTATCTAATTTAAGGTAAAGTCAATTACTAAAAATTTTCCACATTCTTTATAAGCAGTGACAATTCCTTTTTTTCTATTTTTCCTTACTGAGATGAGAGGTAATGATACTGAAAAAATTCAATGGCTTGACTCTATGACTTGTCTCCTAACTACACTGAATTAGACATCTATGCAACAGGATAACTGTCCCTTGAAACAGAATTGCAGTCACTAACTGCCTGCAGTTATGGACACAGCATTATGTGACTGTTAATGTTCCCTTAACTGTAATACAAATTTCTTACTGAATTTTCTTGTGACCTTTTTTAACCCCCTCACAGAACCCTCATGACACTTATATGGGTTTTTAAAAGTCTATTTTGGTAATTTTAGATACTGAACTTACTTAGTTCCAGGGAAACTGAGTTTTATTTATTCATTTATTTTTGGCCAATGCAGGATGTCAACATTTGTGTACATGATTGTTTGAGGAATTTAGATGGCTGGATCTCAGTTCTCAAAGGACAGAGACAGGGATGGAGTAAAGCCTAGGATTCAGGATGATGACAGTCTTTACAGTCAAGTGGCATCTGTAAACAGAACAGACCTCTAAACTAGGTGTCATATGGGAGGGCAGGAGTATGAGCACGAGCATTACTAAATTAGCAAACCTCCTTAGTTTTGTGGGTTCGCAGGCTGTGAGGGGCCTCTTTGGAGTAACCAGCTCTGGGGCAAGGACACACAGCACACCTTTGGCTGGAATAGTATTTTCTTAGGACAGTTACCTTGCTTTTTCATATCAGTGACCAACAGAATCCTGAATGTGAGAGTTCTCAAAGGAACAGAACTTGTGTTCTCTTTTTGTTGCTGTGACAGAATACCTGAGAAAAATCAACTTAATAAAGAAAGGGTTTTTTGGCTCACAGTTTCAGAGGTTTCACTCCATGGTCATCTGACTCCATTGCTACAGGTCTGAGGTGAAGCAGAACATCAGGCAGTGGAAGAGTGCAGCAGAGGAAGCTGCTGGCCTCACAGCAGGCAGGAAGCAGAGCAGGAGGGAGGGAGGACCAGGGACAAAACATATCCTGCAAAGGCGTCTCTCCAGTGACTCAGTTCCTCCATGGAGGCCCCACCTCCCAAGAGTGCCATCACCTGGCAGCCAGACATTTACCATATGACCTTTGGGGACATTCCAGATCCAAACCATAATGAAGAGGTAGAAAAAAAGAGAAATACAGAAGTAGGATACATATATAAGGAGCGACAACCTCTGTTCTGTGGTCCTGTTGTGAAGGAAGATTGTTAACCACTATAGACCAAAGTCAGTTCTGCAGCTGTCCAGGCTCCAGGGCTATACTTACATGGGTCTGAAAACCCCACCTGCTGTCCTTTAGGATTCATATCTAATACCAAGCCTTCCCAAGGAGCAAGGAAACACTCTTGTTTATCTTTAGTAAGACAAGTTTTTCATGGGACAGTGAATTCAGTATGCTCCCTAACTGATCAACAAGGTCTGACCAACAAAAGGGTCTGAGTTGGTAGCTTGCACTAGCCTGGAAAGGAGACAGAGGTAGGACCTCAGCTTTGTGCAGATGTTACGAGATTGTAGAAGGCCCTGTGTCCAGTGATCTGGACTGATGTCATACTGCTGTTTCCTTCAGTTGAATCTTTAAAGAATGGGGTTCTCCAATGAGTTCTTACTCTCTGTCAGTATTTTTCCAGAATTAATATTTAAGGTCCTTATCTTTGCAGTTGTGTAATCATAAATTCAAGTCCTGGTTGGTTGTTTACTGGTTCTAAGATTTAGACCTTTCAGTTGGTCCCTAAGGCTTGGTGAATGCAGTAAATCGTATTTTTGTTTGTGTGTGTGAGTCTGTATGTGTGTGAATGCATTCATGTCTGTGTATATATGAATAAATATATGAACATCATTAAGAATTTTGCATAAAACCATATATTCAGTGATTAAGCCATTGCTACAAGTAAACCAGGCTTTCTTGATCATAGTAATAGCTATGATTTTTGAGTTTTTGTTATGTTTTCAGCATTTATGTATGTACTTTTATGAAATAATTTCTTAGTTCTGCAAATTTATGAGCATGGTGGGTTTTTTTGTTTTTTGGGGGGGGGTACCAGGGATCAAACTTGGGTCCTTGCACTTGTGAGGCAGGCAGCGGAACCACTGAGCTAAATCCCCCGCCCTGAGCATGGTATTTTAAAATTTTCTTCAATGGATGAGGAAAATGAAGCATAAAGAAACGAAGTAGCACATTGAAAGTCACATAGACAATTACACATCTACTAAGAACTGGGCTGGGGTTTAAGCCCAAGGTCCTCAATTTAGAACCTCTTGCTCTTAAGTGTAGACAGCTATCTTTCCTTACTTCCCATACCATGAGACCTGGAGAGACCTGTAGAAGTGTGTGCACTGTATCAGAATTTGTATCCATAGTTACTTAACTTTCTTTTCCAGTTGAATAAATTTTCTTTTGCAATTCAGTAGTTTCCTTTTTTCCATATGACTAATTTTTATTCTTCATAAGTGTAACACTTCTATTAATTTTAATGAATTACATGTGACCAAAAAGGAGATTCTTTATTTGAGTGTGCCTTGGCTTCTGACATTAGGAATTGGTAGAATTGATTGAATTCCCCAGAAAACATTTCCATAATGAACAGGTAGACTTGTTAGTGCTTAGAATCATCATACTCTTATCAATTGAATACTCTGAAAGTCAAATGTATTAATATATAAACTCTATTCTGTACTAGCTTAAATTTTCTGTGGTGATTGTTTTGCTAAAAAACATTTCATGGAAAAAAAGTGAAGAACACAAGGCTTTAACTACACAGAATGATCTCATTTTACCAATAATTTCTTTTATCTTTAGCAACATGTAGTATTTATTCTTCACATTTCACCAGCGAAAACTGATTTCTTGTTTTCTTTGTTAGGTATTTGTTTTGTTCTGTTTGTTCATTCATATCCTGTACTATTTTATATCTGGTTAACGTGTTACTCCTCAAGTTAGCTAGAGTTCAGATACCTCAAGGCATAAAGATTGTGGCTGGCTGCGTTAAACACAAAGGGCACAATGTTCTGTACACCGGACGTTGTTCACCATAAATGCTTGTCACACAATAGAGCTGTGAGAGATTTTTTTAACATGTTGGTTATTCTGTCTACATGGTTTTCTTTGGAGCTAACATTATCCTTTTCTCTTCCCACCCTGCTAGGATGGGGTCGCTCTATCTCTGTTTAATTATCGTTAACTGAATACATGAAAAAATAGTTTTATTGTCTATTTTATTACCCTGTTATGCTCAGTTTAGCATTTTCCTGTCTTATGTTTTGCTTTATGTATATTAGTTTAATTCTCAGAATAACTTTTATGAAACACATTGATTTTTTCATACTATAACCAACATATACTAGTATATATTCAAAGAATATTTTCATTAAATTGCACACGAAAATGCAAAAAGCATGAATAGTATTGTTGCACGATGAAATACTTTTAAATAATAGGTTGGGACTTAGTTTAATTATGTTAGAGAGAAGTGAAATAAATTTATCCAGACTATTAAATTTTAACAGATACATAGACCTAAACATTGGAGTAGTATCAAATTTCAGATCACCTTCTTCTATAATAATAATCTCATTAATACATTTTTTGTAGTTACTCTCCTAAATACTTTGTGCATGTTAATTGACTTACACCATATAGTGATCCTATAACTAGATACTTCTATTATTCTTATTTTACAGGTGAGAAAAGTGAGTTACATAGAGGTTAATAATTTCCCCAGTATTATATAACTTTTCAGCGGTATATCTTGGATTCAAATCCTGGACTGTCTGTCCCTGCAGTCCTTTCTCTTAAATGCTAATGCCTTGTTTGGTTTATTATTATATTTGTGAACTTCATAGTAAAGCAGACTTTATGCTTTTCATCTGTATAAAAGAACAAACATGCTCTTTTTTATCTTAAATTTTAAAAATACCAAAATAATTTTATTTTTTTAAAAAATCACTTTTTAAGGTTGATTCCAGTTGCTAAAGTTAAAAAAAAAGCCACAAAAAATAAATACTGTACCAACTGTGTCCATCAAAACCATTACTGGATTCTTGTTTTTAGAAAGTGAAGCCATGCCATTTCCATCTCTTCCTAGCCTTTCACTGACTGGGTTGAAGAAGAGAGTTTTGGTCAACCACAGGTAGAAGACTTGCTCATTTCCTTAGCCAAGACTAAGCTAATGAACTACATTATTGGTTTAAACGAATAGCTAGATTTAGCTGCCTCTTAGTAGCCCTTCGCATGCCATCCATGTCTAGAACACGTGAAGTCCTATGACTCCAAGTCAGAGACTTTGCCTAGTGTTTTCTCTAAAAGAACACTCTTAATTTGAAAGGAATATGACATTTGAATGAAAAGGAAAAGACCCTTTGCTAGAACTTCTTAAAACGTAGCCATTATTTATAGAGACAGTGCTGATTTCATATAGAGCTGCTTACTTCATGGCGATCAGAAAGCCGAGAGAAAGAGAAAGAAGCCAGGGAAAATAATATGCCCTCAAGGACACACTTCAGTGACCTGCTTCCTCTAGCTATGCCTTCCCTCCTAAAGTTTCATTATCTCCCAATGTCCCATGAAGTTATGAGCCCACCGATGTATTAACCTATTGATAAGATCAGAATGCTAATCATCTGATCACTTCTCAGAGCCCTGCCTGTGAACACTGGTGCACTGGGGACCAAGCCAGAGGAAATTCCAGATCCAAACCATAACAAACCCTGTAAAGTTTCTAATTCAAATTTGCAGATATGGGTATGGATTCTACAGAAATTTAACCGACATGGACATCATAGCCAAGGTCCTAGAAAAAAGTAATAACTCTGGAAGAGATCTTTAGGGTGTTTATGTCTCGAGAGACAACATTAAAAATATAAATTCCTGATTTTATTATCAAATCCAGGTGTAAAATTGTAAATAAATGCTTCAGAGGAAAGTCTGTTCATAGGTGAAATGTTTAGACTTGGATCAGGGGCCCCAAGAATACACAGCATTGATTTGATTCTAGAGACGATAGTGAGTAAACACTGGTTTATTCCTAAAGTTTATTTCACCCAGTTCACGTCCTTGAAGGACCCTGCGTGGATTATGGGATTATTACATCTGCTCAAAAGAAAACAAAGTGGGATGTAGGAGAAAGGTTTAAAAAGACGCACCCTCCAGTATGAAGGAACTTTTGGAGTTCTTAAATATCTGCAACCAGATCCTATATAAGTGATTTTTGGTATCTTACAGTTGTTTTTAACAGAATCTAATTTTTTTCTAAACTAATTTGGCAGGAAAAAGTGTGTGTGTGTGTGTGTGTGTGTGTGTGTGTACGCTTGTGTGTGTAGACTGCAAGTGGCTAATTTGTTTTTTTCTGGTCAGTCTTCTGGACAGAATCCCTGAGGGAGAAGCTAGTTAGCAGCAACTCTATTTAGAACTCTATTTAGAAGAGTGTAAAAGGCCAAATACTAGGGCGTCCTGGAGGGAGACAAAGAAGGATGGGACAGGGACCCACCTGGGTCTGACTGGAGAGGTGCCCTTAGCAGTCAGGAACCAGAGAGGTTCAAAACAGGAATCACTCTACAATCATAGGATTTTCATAAAAATTACATGAAATTATGAATACAGAACAGATAGCAGTTGTTGACATATTTCTAGAACTTTATAAGGGGTAGTTAGATCTAACCCAGGGGGCATAGGTATTTTACTATACGAAATAATTCCCTGAAGCATAGTGCAGGTGGCCTGCACTACTTCCTTCACATTCCCTATCACCGCCCTTGTCTAACTCCTGCTTTCCTTTACATGAAACAGTGTTTAATTTTAAAATAGTTTCTATGTATCTATCCATCTATCACCTATCCATTTATAGAAATATAAACCAAATCATAGATGATATCTAGTGTAGATTTTGAAGTACAGATGACTAATTGAGAATAATCCAAAACTAATCCAGAATTTTTTTCTTTCCCCTCCCTGGCCCATCACCTTCTCGCCAACTAATGTCAGCTCTATATATTTATCTAAGAGTACAGTCTTAAGCAGTTGCTGGTTTGCTTTTAATCTAAGCACAAAAGAATGTACAGTCACTGCAGTAAGGACAAACATTCAGAAATTTAACTCTGAAACCAACATTCAGAAGTTTAACTCAAAACCAGAGAGGTTGGTTCTGGGAGAAGCAGGGGGTGATTTGTTCAGAAGACTCTTTGCCTCTTCTGACATACCAGCCTGATCATAAGATTGCCCACAGTTCCCTTTCCCAGGGACTCAAGTTGTAGCTTCCTTTCAGTGTCATTGGGTTTCTTCTCATCTCAGATACCTTGAAGTCCATTTTCAGTCCATTCCCACCCCATTTGTCTTCCTACCAGCCAGGCAAATAATTGATGCTTGGGCAATGCTGAAACCTAATAAAATGTGTCATCTATGTGGTTAATCCTAGAAAAACTTCACAACATAATAGTGAGTTCTACTACCTTTTGTCAGAGACATGGCTACCATTGTTTGGAAATAGCAGGATCCGTATATGATTTCTAAGACTAGTACTGAAAGCCCTAAAAAGTATAATTGCTCTGGAAAATTAAACTTTTTGACTTTCTTGGGAAAAAGGGTCAGCAGTCCTGTAGCCAGCCTATTCTCTTCCACAATGCTGAGTTCTCTGCAGAAAAGAACACTCGAGTATGTGCAGGGCTTCCCTGGACTGGCAGATCATGGACTGTTAGACATTAAGAAACCTTTGTTACCATTTTCTTTTTCCATTCCTCTCTCCTTTTTTAGTATATGTGCTGCTGAAGCAAGCACTCTTCTTTCCTTTTTATTTCTTTTCCTTTCTTTCAATAAACTTTTTCTCTTGAAATAAATGTAGATTGGTGTATCTTTGAGAAATAATGCAGAAATAAACTGTACCCTTTGCTCAGTTTCTTGCACTTGTGACATTAGGCAGGGTCATAGGACAGTATCACTATCAAGACATTGACCTTGACTCAGTCAACACTCAAGAGAACATTCCCATGGCCTTCCTAGTGTCCTTTTATAACCACAGCCAGGCCCTTCTCCAAGGCTGTGCTTCCAGAAGAAAACTTTGATATCAGTGGTAAAAACCAAAATATTTGGGAGGAACTAATGTTTATCTTTGCCAGGATGTTTAATATCCAGGAAATAAACCCAATTCTAATGGGTAAGTGCTATGGTGCTTGTCCCAGTTATTCCTATTTCTTCTGTGCTTATATTCCTAGGGAGATCCTTCTGTATTTTGTGCCTAAATATCTGCTGTCATCAGAATTTAACTGCACATCTGTGGAAGAGCTGATAGCAAGTATTGAGGTAAGCTTGCCTTTTTGGAACTCTGAGGGAATGACATTAGTTTGAATTTAATCTTAACGGAAGAAAATTGTAAAGTGTTGGAGGTCAGAGGACCTAGAACAGTTTATAAAGATGGGGATCCCTATATCAACTGGATGGCTCACAATGAAAAATGCCCTTGGAGTCAGTGTGGCCAAGGATAAAATGAGGTGTAGAAAATCTTACAGACTGAGAACAGTTGGTTTCAGAGATCAAACAAATGGGACATTTTGCTGATTTCCCTCCTTCTCCTCCACCAAAAAAAAGAGTTTCTCATCCTTAGATATTCTTCTTCAGTGCCTCTTGGGAGGAGCTGAGCTGAGGACTGCACAGGTCCCAGAGCACTGGTCTTACTAGAATCACTAAAACATCACAGGGGAAACTGAAGAAGATTGTACTTCCCAGACTCCTTGTGGAGACAGTGCCATGTATGATTGTGGGAGAAACCTCAGTCAGCTACTTGGGGTGCAAAGGGGAAACCTCAAGTTGGTCTTCCCGCAGCAATGCCAAGTAGTCCCCGTGGGGGTGAGGTGACACTGGCTAAGGTCCATAGTCTGAGGCCAGAGGAGCTGCTTCAGGCAGAGGGGGAGCCACGGTGATGCAGGAATGCTGGGGACCCCTTCACCTCAATGTGCAGGGTTGCTTGTGGAACTGATGGAAAAGCTGTCAGTGGAAAGAACACAAATTATTAATCAGGCAGGGCTGCCACCTGCCTCAATCTGGTCCTGGGTGAAACCCCTAATTTTATAACTTACTGTTTCTTCTTCTTTATCCTTTTCTCTCATCTCTTCTCCCATGTGGCTCTCATTTCTTAACCAGGACCGTTCCTGTCAGGGTCACCAGTGATGTCTGTGAAGACAGATGTAGTAGTCACTTCTTATTTTCTGACTTCCCAGTGACCTTCTATTCGGCTGCCCACTTTCTCTCTAAAGCACTTTCTTTGCATGGTTTCCATGACCACACACATCTTGTTTTCTTGCCTTCTTCTCTCATCTTCTTTATGGCAACTCTTTCTCTACTTGGTTTCTATATGTCCTACCTGATTTCTTGTTCCTGGAGCACATTCCTTTCTCTATTAAATGCTATTTCTAGGTTAGTTCATGTAGTCTCTGACTTTCAGTACTATTCCATGTGCCAATAACTCCGAGTCTGTTTCTCAGGCAATCTCTTCCAAGAAATCCAGACTCCAACTGCCTTTTACACATCACATTTTGAATATTTTTTATTTTATAATTTAATTTTCCTTCCATTTGATTTTTTAATCAGCACATTTTCAATCATGCTATATTTATTTGTGTAAATGGCCTTAATTATTTTTTAATGAAATGAAGTGTAATTTTGTTAATTAATTTAATTAGACCCATGTTTAAAAGACCCAGAGTACCAATATTGGCTAGTTCTAGGCTTTTGATGCTTTTTTTTTTATAAGACGCTTGCATGGTATAACTCTGTTACAGACAGCTCATTCTGTAAAGCTAATATCCTGTTCTATTATCATTTATGAAAACAGCTGGAGCAATGCCCAGAGCAGACAAACAAAAAGCTGAAAATATGTTTCAACCAGGTAAGCTTTCTTTCCATGTAGCCATTTATATTCTAAATGACCTTGTGTTCCAAAGGAGAAATATACATTTCCAAATGTTAAGTTTGAAAGGAAATCAAATTTGCATTTACTTATCAAGACTTAGATTAATGTGTAGAATATCAGATGTCACAAAGCAACATCCTTTTGAATTTTAAAATACAAAATTGTCCACAACATCTACAGTAGGACTGTATTTTGAGCAATAAAGTGGATATTCTTAGTCTTCAAGAAATATAATCACTGAATACTTGAAACACTAGACTAAAGGACAAATTATAAGGTTTTAAATTATTTCAGATAATTTGATCTCTGTTCATTTTTACTATCTTATTGACAAATTTTAAGCTTATAATTATTCCATTATAAAAGTAGCTATAAAAGTAATTAATACTATATGAAAGGAATTTAAAGAAATTCACCTGTAGTCTCAAACCATCCATATTTTCTGATACTAATTTTTTTGTGTTTTACTACTGTTCTTTGAGCAGTTCTTTGTTCATTTCTCGCTTTGAAATATATGTGTATTATATATGTGTGTATATATATATATTTGTAGTACATATATTTACTTCCTTGTGTGGAGTTGGTACATGTGCATAACTCATTTTAATTCCTTTTTTCATCCTCTGATCCTCTCCTCCTTTCCCCCTTATTTAGTTTTTAAAAGATTTTGCCACCTGCCTCACAAATGCAAGGTCCCAAGTTTGATCCCTGGTACCAAAAATAGAAAAAAGATTTTGTGGCTGGTGAGAGGAACTCTATGATGTACTTCAGTTCTACTACAGACATAGCTCAAAAAATATATATACCCTCAGTTCCCTCATTTCTCACTGGAGAACACTTCTCTATGGTGTGAATATGGCCAAGCTCATGTACAGGATTAGTGCTGGAGCCTAGGTGTCCATGGAAGTTCCCAGACTCATCACCTACGTATCTAGTTGCTACAGCACCTTAGAACTTTTATGGCACCAGGGTTAATATTGAGCTGTTAAGTATCATTGACACTTGTCTTTTCTCAAATGTGTACACCAGTGCCATCACTAGCACATACATTATTGGCATCTTCTTCCACCTACTCATGCTTATAGCCATCTTGTGGAAAACTACCACACTAACATGCAAAATGTAAAGTCTAGGAGGTGAGTGGCAGAGCTTAAGACGTGCAAAGGGCAGAGATGGGCAGTGCTACTTGATTTGTCTCTTTTGTAGATAATGGTATTAATTTTAATATTCTTGTTTTATAAGTGAAAAAGAATTGTGAATTCCCAAAAGACATGACTAGGCACACTTGAAATGAAGATTAGAAATTGAAACAGGCTTCTGGTTAACAAAGACAGAATTATAAAAGTATTTAAATTTTGAAGTGAACCTAAATTTAACCGGCCTTGTTAATATGTTTCCCTCTTATATTTCTGACTGAGTGCCTAGTGGACTGTCACAAGTAACTAGAAACAGGAGTAGAGATTATAATTAGCATCTCATTACTGCTCAATTGAAAAGTGAATTTACTGATTTTCTGAATGTTTTATTAAAAATGTGGCAATTAAACATTTTTCGTTTGATGACTTTTTGTTGATATATCTTAGCTAGAATAAAAGACAGTTTACTTTCAATATGTTTTGACCATATTTTAGCACTATTATTATTTTAATCAACTAATACAAAACTATGATTGAGAACTATTAGCACCAGGCAGTAAACAATGACATTCTGTGTGTTACCTCATTTAACTCACAACTTTGGGAGGTTGATAACCACTGTCTTCAGCTTAGTAACAAGGAAATGGAGGTTCATTAAGATAATTTATTAATCTCATCATGAAAGTAAGTATCAAATTTGAAATTTCAACCCAGATTTGTCCTACTCTACAGTTCTCTTCATTCTACAACCCCCATGTTATTCTTATACGGATTTTAACACTTGACACTTGGTATAGAGTTTGTATATGTTACTTGCAATAGGTATGTTACAGGTTCTCAGCCTACTGGTGTAGAAGAATTGCCTTAAACTTTTAGAGACCTTGCCATTATATCATGACATATGGTGATGATGCTGATGGTGAAATCTTTCTTTGTGGTAGGAGGGTTTGCTTAGTGTCCAGCAGAAATTGATTATCCCAAATGAAAGTCTATGGCAGTCACCTTGAAGAATTATCAAGACCTGGATCTTCCCATATGTCTTTATTTATTGGTTAGAAATTTGTGATAATTGTCTTGTCAAACATAGTTTACCCAAGATTATGTATTCCTTTTCATATCTATTTCTAAATTTTTTCAGTGTTTACATTATTACTAATGAAGGGATCATGGAGGCTAGAGTGAATACAATCCATGTTTATTCAGAGTGAGCAGTGTTGACATAGATGATGATTAGAATCTTCCTAATATTCAAGGAAAATGAGATTCAAAGAACCAAAGCAAAGTTATTAGTCAAGATCAGAAACTTCTGTTAAAAGTGAGCTACAGAAGATGGTGATTGATAGTTTTAGGTACATGGTTATAAAAAACACACATTTCATTTCTTTTTTTAATTTCAATTTTATTGGTATAAGCAGGGATGGTTCAACATACGCAAATCAATAAATGCAATACACCATATCAACAAAGCCAAAGACAAAAATTACATCATCATCTCAATAGATACAGAGAAAGCATTTGACAAAGTCTAACACCCATTCATGATAAAAACCCTACAGAAAATTGGAATTGATGGTCTTTATCTCAACCTGATAAAAGCCATCTATGAAAAACCAACAGCCAACATTGTACTAAAATGATAAAAACTGAAAGCTTTCAGTCTAAAATCAGAAACAAGGATGTCCACTGCCACCACTCTTATTCAATAAAGTTCTGGAAATATTATCTACAGCAATTAGACAAGGAAATGAAAGGAATAAGGATAGGAAAAGAAGAAGTTAAATTATCATTATTTGTGGATGACATGATATTTTAGATAAAAGACCTCCAAAACTCCACCAAAGGACTTGTAGATGTAATAACTAAATTCATTAGTTCAGCTGGATACAAAGTTAACACTCAAAAACCAACAGCCTTCCTGTACACCAATAACAAACTCACATATAGTTTCTTGAAGTCCACATAGAGGACAAATCTGTGCAACTTGCTTTAGGGTGTGTACTTTTAATAAAGAGAGCCACATCAAAACAAAAGAGGGCTCTGTATAAGTCACCTCACCCTGACCCATGAGTAGCTTTCCTAACAACTGTTAGAGCAGGAGATGTTTCAGGGCACCATTGATGACTTTTCACTACCTGTCCCAAACCAGCGTCTTTTGTTCTTTCCACTCACAAGCCATCAGCTGCATCCAAAATGAGCATCCTAGGATTGCTCCAACCTCCATATACTGACTTACCTCTGAACCTTTCCCCACACTATATTTCCCCAAAATAGTTATCCACTCTCAATCCCTTAAAGACTCCCCCGATAGTGCTTGGTTAATGAAAGAACCTTAAAACTCTTTTCATTAAAATTCTGACCCTGTGTTATAATAGGTTCTTGTGTTTCATTTTCTCCCCAACTAAATTATAGAGAGCTTGAAATTAGCACTCCTGTATCCTGGCAGCATTCAGTACCTTTGGATGCATTTGGATCTTAATTTTTGTGCATTGAATCAAATTTGATTGTTTCTGCTCCAGTGCCTGCCTATCCCCATACATATCTTTATGCATATCCTCATTTGCATAGTGCACAATCTATAGATGTCATATGTCTTCCTTATTTTAAGCAAACTTGTTAGGATTCTGGAAGTGCACACATGCTGGATTTGAGCTTTCTGAATTCAAGGTAGAAAATTAATATCTCACTTGAAGATCCTTTCTTTCAAATCCTAATTCTGTTCTGACTTAATGGAGTTTAGAAGTAATTGCATTTTTGATCTGCTACAAACACCTCTACAAGAGTGGGTTCAACCAGAAAAACTAAAGCCTCTCAACTAGTTAAGATTCTCTTCTTACCTTAATTAAAATGTTAATACAACTAGATGTCCTTTTGTATTCGGCCTCAGAAGTTGTGAAAATTATTACCTTTTAAAAACTCTTCCTAGAGAGTTCAGCCTAAGAAAAGCAGAATAAATCAGGAAACTGGATTGTAGTCTTTGAAGGAAATATAGTTTGCTCATTATAAAAGGGTGAACTTTCAGAGAATGAATATGACTTTGAATGTAATGTGCTTCATATCATAGTCTATTAACAGTGTTGGGGTTTGCTTCTGCTTTTGTCTTCTTATTTTTAATTTTGAAATACTATTTTGAGATCTATAATGTATGATTCATATGAAACTGCAGAAATAGTACAGAGAGATCCCATGTATCCATGACCCAGTTTCCTCCACTGCCCACATTTTGCGTTATTATAGTACAATACCGAAACCAGAAAATTAAAATTGGTAAAGATGTATGTGTGTGGTTTTAGTATGTGTATATACTGAGATGCAGAATTCCCATCACCACACATCTCTCCCTTCTGCCACCTTTTTACAGTCACACTCAACTTGCCCCCCACTAGTACATCTGACTCCCAAGAACCACTGGTCTTTCTTCCATCACCATCATTTTACCACTTCAGGAGTGCTGTAGAGGTGGAATCTCATGGTATATGCCCTTTTGCCTCATTTATTCATTTAGCATAAGTTCAGGTCCATTCAAGTGTGTCAATAGCATGTTCTTTCTTAAGGGTGGTGAGAAATACATCTGTCCTTCCAAATAGTGGTGTTTTTAATATTTTATATTTTTCTTTAATTTTATTTGTCTGGGGTTGTTTTATTGTTGCTGTTATTAAAAGTGTTTCTTGGTTACTATTATCAGGATGGCTAAAACCGTAAACTTCCAGAATTCTAGAAACTGAAAAATAAGAGTGCTGGTCACACCCAAAATATCTGTGTCCTGCTGCCCTTGTTCCAGCTGAGTTGAATTATTTTCCCTACTCTACCTTCACCCTAGGGGAGAGGCCACCCCTTTGGTTTTCTGAAGCCTCCACTGGGAGCCTCTATAAAGCTTCCTGGAGGAGGCAGTTGTTCCTTTATTGTAAGTCATCAACTTCTTATAGAGTGAATTGAAGATGTTCAAAAGTGGATTGTATGAATTAATAATGTGTTATTTACAGTAAATGTCCAACTTATGAACATTTAAGTTGTGAACTTTCACAGATACAAATGTACCTTGCATTATGAACATTCGTAGATGCAAACAAATCAAGGAAGTGGGTCATATGTCTAGTGGACATTGTCACAGTTGTGCTGCTGTGTGCTTACTGTACTGTGTGATAGTGTACAGTAGTGCAGTGCTCAATCGGAACCAGGATGTCCAGAAGTAAAAGGAAAAGCAATGGTGATGTGGAAGGGACTGCTAGGAAGTGCAAAGCGTGGTATACATTGTGACTTCAGAATGAATTCAACTTACAAAGTTCTCCCAGAACAGAACTCATTCATAAGTCAGTGACTTACTGTATATCAAAAGAGAAGAATTTTGAATGTGCTCACTGTAAAGAAATGATGAAAGTTTAAGGTGATAGCATATGATAATTACCTGAATGTATAGTTACCCAATGTGTACTACATAAGTCAAAACAAAACAAGAGTGGATTCCCCTTCAAGATCTTAGACTCTAGCCTGGCAGGGCAGGATTGTCCCATGTGTTCGAAGTTCCCTTGTGGTGAGTGTAAATTTTTGATACCCTTGAGGAACTTACATCTCAGCTGTCATGTAAGACATAATATGGAGTCACAGAATGATAGATGATAAACATTGTGCAAGGCCAGGGTATTAACAGCAGCTGGTGTGCTGGGGAAAGGGAGGTGATTTCAGATACAGTGGCCAAAGAATACCTGAGGAGGTAATGTTTCAAGACAGACCAGAGGCCAGGAGGATGTCTTGTGTATATCTGGGATTGAATTTACCAAATTGAGAAAGCAGCAAGAGCAAAGGGCCTGATGCAAGAATGATGTAAGAATATGGGGAAGTATATGTAAGAATATGTAAGAATATATGTAAGAATAGGAGAAGCCAGGCTGAAGATTTCGAAGCCTAGCTTTTGGTGGCTTACATAAGCTTCTAGGAAGTTTAAGACTCTAACAATCTAAGATGTCTTTATAGAAAACCTACAAACCTCAGAATTAGTCTTTAACATACTGTAATACACCCATGGATTCATGGCCAGTGTGTGCCATTATGAAATGTTACTTTATTCCCTGCTCCCACACATTCCTCTTCATTAATAGTATATGAAAAGTGCAAATAATCAGAAGGTAAATTAGCTACATGAATCCAAGTCAAATACTATAAATCAGGACTTTAATGCCCTTTAACAGCAACTGTTCACCTTCTTCTTAACTCTAATAATATCTGAGCCTTACTTGGGAGCACAATGCCCTTTGACCAATAAGATATACGTGCATACTTGTACTATCCCATAATGCTACCTAGAAAGTTCTTGAGGGCAGAGCCTACCCTACATATTTTTGTATCACCTATAATTAAATTTGAAACATTGAAATTTATGAAGTAGTTAGTGGATATTTATTAAACAGAGCTACATATAGAAATGGTATTATTTCTTCAAAGGATTTTTTACAGAAAGAAGAGAGTCTCATGAGAGCAATGAGTGCCAGCAGTGGTGACAGGGGAGTATGTGGGGAGGATCTGCACCACATCTGGGATAGATGTAATGGAAGGTGGCAGCAGGGAGCAGGATGGGCCCAGAGGGTAAATGGGGCTACCCTACCACAATTTTCTTTGCAACCCAATCATATTAGAATACAGAAAGTGCCTTATTACAGAAACATCAAAATATTTATTAAAATGGGATTTTCCCTATATTTCTTTTTTCAGAATATCTCTGGTCCTCTCAAAATGTTGACACAAGCAATTAATGTCATTTTCAAATGGAAGCCCTCTCTGTTATCTCTTTCTGCTTCATGAAGGGCTCAGGCACAACATGCAATGTTGGAAAACAGCCAAGACCCTTGAATTTTCAGGGAGCATATGGGTAACAGTCCACACTCCCTGCATCAGGATAAAGAACCCAAAAAGAGTGAGGGAGTAGCATTTATCATTCTGTAGCTTCTGTGTCTATAAAGACTCCACAGTCTTCTATAAGCAACACAACAGTTTCTTCAAGACAACAACCTCTCATTACCTGTGAATTACTGATATTGTGGAAAGAGGTCCACAGTCACCTGGCCACTTTGAGCCTTGAATAGTTTTGTACCACTGGTGGAAGTACAAGTTCAACCTTCACAGAATTCCTTCTTCATTCCAAAGAAAAGGTCTTTAAGCCTAATTTTTTGTGCCTCTATAATCCTTATAATTACTGGAATATTGTACATTTTCCCTTCAGAGAGTAAGTTCTTTAAAGGTGTCAACAGTTCAGACTGACTGTCACACTTCAATACAAAGTTAATCCTTGAGACACGTGCAGAATTGGCATACAAAATATTTTTGCGATATTCACAAAAATAGTAACATTTTAAAAATATACTGTTTTAAAAAACATCCACAGATCCAGAATGTTTATATGGTCCAGTATGAAAAAAATATGAAGAGAAAAATACAATCCATTATCTATGATGCGAATAGAAGAGCAATTCTTAATGAAGTCTCTCTGATACGTTGTGAACAAAAAAGAAAAGTATCTGAGGATAAACTGAACAATCTTCGTGTAAAACTGGCAGCATTATTGCAGAAACTTCAGCTGGTGAGTGATGAAGTGTTATTAGTCAGGATATGCTCTGGGGAAAGAGCCTGTGTTAGTCAGCTTTGTGTTACTGTAACAAAATATCTGTGAAAATCAAACTAAAGGAGGAAAGGTTGGTTTTGTTTTAGGGTTTCAGAGGTTTTAATCCATGCTCAGCAGGCTCTATTCCTTTTAGGTCTGTGATGAGGCAAAACATCATAGAGAGGGTGAGAGTGTGGCAGAGCAAAGCTGCTCACCTCATGGCAGTCAGGAAGCAGAGAGAGGAAGGGGGCCATGGGCAAGATAAATCCTTCCAGGTTACACCTCTGTTGAGCTACTTCCTCCAACTAAGCCCCACTTCCTAACATCCCACTCAGCTATGAGCTCATCATAGATTAATCCATTGATGAGGTTAGCACCTCCATGATACAATCGCATTCTGAAAGTGCCACTCCTAACCGCATGAGCTTTTTAGGGGGCATTTATGATCCAAAGCAAAACAGAACCCTTGTATACATTCTTCTACTCTTGTCATTTGCATACTGACCTTGGGCAGGTCATGTAAGGATATTGAAATCATAAATAGGTGAACTTCGAAGGATATATTAGAACATTTAAAAATCTTCTATTCTTTTTTATCTTTAAACATTAGAGTCTTTGCTTATACTCTTGGTAGAAGATGCCTTTGGTGTCTCCTCAGCAACATATTCAGTAGGAAATTTCTCCAATTTTTTTAGAAAGCAAGATACTTTATCTTCATTTATAAATTAAAATAAGCCCTCCAAATATTAGCCATGTTGGAGAGGTTAGGAAACATCATGTAAGTATCGATTACTGTCATTTTTGTTTGTGTATTTTAATTCATAAACAATTGAGCTTTTAATAATAGATGGAACTAATAAGGAAAGGCCCATCTTCTAGGACAGCATATAGAAATGCTGGATACAGCAAAAATTAAATTATATTAGCTGTAGGTTCCAGAAATAAATTAAGAAATCCAAACCAGAACAGTGAGGTTAGGGAGCACGTGGCCTTTTGTCCTCAGTTGTAGACCCTGGGTGCTGCGGCCTAGACAAGATCTTCCCGGGCCATGCAGGGTGAGAGTGCAGGGACTGAATCCCCTTAGAAAGCCGGGAGAATTTACCAGGGACAGCTTCACTCATGAAGGGAAAGACGTGGGAATTTGCCATACATCAATATAGAATGTGCTGAGCATGGACTGCCTGCATTTCAATCTTAGCTGTGAACATTGCAAAATGAGAGGTTAGTATATTGCCCCTTTGGTGATCTAGGAAACAATTAAAATGCTACTGTATTAAAATAAAAAGGATAAACAATGCTGTTTTCACATTGTGGGAGGTGTATTTATGCTTCTGTTAACAACACTTCAGCCAGTTCTTTATTGCTGTGAAAATGGAATTTGAGTGGAGCTCCTTTTGGCTCCTGTGGCTGTGACTGTTTTTACTTCTAAAAGTTTAGATGTTTACTTGTAAAAGTTCAAAAGTTTGCATTAAACATTTAAAAATTTAACAGTTTACATTAAAAGTTTACATGTAAAAGGTCGACTGTGTAACCTGGCACATGGTAGACTTTCAGTGATGATTGTTTTGATAACAAGGAACACTGGAGAGACCAAAAAAAATTTGGTATCATAAAAATTCAATATTACTTTCTGAGAGAGTTTCTAAAAATGATTCTTTCCTATAATAGAAAAATATATGTTTGGGGGCCAGGGATTTAGCTCAGTGGTTCTGCCACCTGCCTCGCAAGCAGAAGGTCCCGAGTTCGATCCCCGGTTCCAAAAAACAAAAACAAAAAACAAAATAAAAAACAGATTAGTCAGAAAAATCTATGTTTGGCTAGGGGAAATAAAGGAATAATAACTCTCTAAAAAATTACCTTCTGTGACATATCCTTAGATTTCCCAGAATAGCCAGGGTAATTATATTAATTAAATTTGCTTTTGACACAAAGTTTGGTAGGAGGGATGTGAAGGTCTTTAGACACCACAATGTGAAACTTTTTACCCACAATCATTTAGAAGTATTCAAATGGCTCTGACTCAAACATATTTATATATTTCTGTACTTGAAACTTCCATTTGTACTTCCCCTGACTGCCACAGTGGCTGCAGTAGAATGGATCAGAGAATAGAGATGAGGTTGACATAAAGCAGATAGAGTGGGACAGGCTCATGAAAAAGCTATGTTTAACATCAACATGAAGACCTAGGAGGAGGTTCAGTCTGCCAGGAAGAGAATGTAGCCCAAAGATAAGACTGTACCTAACAGGCTCAGACCTTCCAGGGTCAGAGAGGGCCACAGAACATCTTCAGGTTATTATATTGGGAAATCTAGGTGAATATCAACACCACGGAAATCCATCCACAGGAGCAAGACCCCAATCTAGGACAGAAGTAAAGCTGAGGCACATTTAATAGAACCAGAGAAGGAAAGGAGAGACTAGGATAGTGGTGCTGCATACTTAGTGGGAACAATAATACAGCTGGGATTGTTTCTGAAAGGTCCTCCCTAACAATTCTCTCATCCATCTGTCCATTTGGAGAGCCAGTTGGCCCCATAATTGGGCCTGAAGGAGACAGATTTGGATCAATAAAGATAGAGCACATGTTCCCTTGATCTATCATAGACCAAGGAGCCCGGGAAAGGGAAGCATGATTACCCCAGTAGGGAGAGGGGAAAAGGAAGGACAGAGAGAAGGGGATGGAGCCAAGTGGGGAACCAAAGATTAAGGGAAAAGATGGTACCCTGGGAAGAGGAGCAACACAAGTGGCCATTTGGGTATTCCTCTGTTTTTGCCTTCAAGGCTAAAGATCATGAATATTTAAAATAGCAGATGGCAACCTGTAATAGAGAAGGATGACACTGGGTTGGGGGTTTTAGGAATACAACAAGTAATTTAGAAAAAAATGAGGAAAATACCACTGACCAACCTCCACTAACGAAAAACTGATCCAAATTCCTCACAACTGGTGAACATAAAATGAGATTAAATGTGAAAACTTTTGGAAAGGTTAAAAGTATTATTCAAACACAGGACAGGTGTCCTTGCCACATGAGTCATAGAGAACACTGTCAGGAGGCCGACCAGGCTAGTGGAGTTAACCTGGCAGCTTCTTTCCCTGATGCAGCCCTGGGTGTTGTCTTCCAGGGTGGCCCTGCCAATGACCTGGAGCAGATTGACGCGTATCTAGAAGGTTTGCTTGAAGACGACAGATTCCTTTTCCAGAATACTTTAAAGTGACCACAGATGCAGGACATCCTCTCCCTTTAGAAAACAGTGAAAGAACTTCTCAAAATTAAAAGTTTGATAAAAGCATTCTTTTCTAAAACACTAATAAGTAAATCAGTAGATTCTTTTCCAACCTTTCCTTTTGTCATTGTTATTCTAAAATTTGCCAGTTTAATGCTAAAAAATTTTACACTTTACATATAGAGACTGATTTAAATTTACATTTTATTTTCTAACTATTCAATAACTTTTTATTTTCTATAATTACTATATTCCATTTTCCTAACTATGCCTGTTCTCTCAGAAATAATTTCTAATTTCCATGTGAGTTACTGAAAAAAATACAAATGTCACTTAAGTTTAAATTTTGCTTTAACTTAAGTTTAAATTTTGCTTTAACTTGGGCTGGGGATTTAGCTCAGTGGTCTTGTCGCCTGCTGCGCAAGTGCAAGGACCTGAGTTGGATCTCCAGTACGAAAAACCCTCAAAAAAACAACAACAAAATTTTTGCTTTAACTTAAATAATTTTAAAACCTTGAAGACAGTGTTTTTCAAAATCAGTATGCAAAGAACTATAGAATCACCTCCTTTTGAAAAATAGTATATCTTTTCTTTACTACAGCCAATACTCAATAAAACACAAAATGTAAGGGCCTGGGTATTATTCCAACATACCTGTAATCCCAGCATCTGGGAGTTGAGGATGACCTAGAATTGGAATTCTAGGTCATCTGTTAAATTCTAGGCCAGCCAGGGCTACATAGTGAGTTCAAGGCTAACCTGACCTACATAGAGAGACCCTGTCTAAAAACAAAAGAAGGAAGGAAGGAAGGAAGGAAGGAAGGGAAGGAAGGAAAAAAAAGAAAATAATAATCTTTTAAAAACATTGTGATATAGTTTATATGATAATTTTTTGTTATAGTAAAAGAATAAATCTCTTAAGCATAATATATATTCATAATAAAAGTAAGAGTTATATTTTATATATGTAAGAGATGGTTTTATATTTTCCTTAATAACTGTTTTGTTTGGAAATGTTTGTAACCTTGGACTAAAACAATAAAACATTTAATAATCAGTGGAATTGTACAATTTTTTGGTGTATAGTAGATGATTAATGAATATGTTCAGTACACTTTAAAAAGTTTGTATTTTTATTAGTACATGTTTGCAGTTGTAATGATTACATTCATGGTGGGAAGTTGGTACATGTACATAACACATCTTAATTCTTTTTATTTCCCTTTCGCTTCCTGCCCTTTCATCTCTTGATCCTATTCCTATTTGCAAGAGATCCAACTCCCTGTGAATAGGAGACCCAGTGAGACAGTGAAAAGTCTCATCCTTTTTGTGTCTTTAGCCCGTTTACTGTCTTCCCAAGAGACACGCTTTTACCGACTTTCGTATCGAAATTCTACTTTGGTATATTTTACCAATTACTTGTGAATCCACCTCTAAACAAGGTATAGAAAACCATGCTGATTATCTATAGTTGAAAACATGAATATAATAGCATTCAAGAGATGCTACTGATTCCTTTCTACTCAAAATCCCTTCAAGATCATCCATCTCACACCAGGAGCAGTATGTGTGTCATATATCTGTCCTGGGAAATAATTTCTCATTATCCTTAATTACTCTTTATTGTGCCATTCTATGAAAATATCAAAATTTATTTAACCATCCCCTTATCAATGGACATTTAGATATTTTTGTCCTTTCAGATTTACATGCACATAAAAGTAAATATCTTTGTAAGTGTGTGTCTCTCATACATGTACAACTGTATCAGTTGATTAAATCTCAGAGAGTAAATTCCTGGGTCAAGGGATTGTACATTTTGTTTTTAATAGATATTGCCTAATAGCACAGAATAAAAATTTTGTTAATATATACTCCTTCCAATGTATGAGTGCCTGTTTCTTCTCACCTTCACCTGCCCAGTGGATTCTCAGAGTCTTACCTTGCTGATCGAATAGGTAAAAAGTGAAATACTCTTGTACTGTCTTTTTATGTGCTGGGAGTGAAGTCTGAGTCCCGTAAGTTTTAGGCAAATGCTTCACCATTCATCTACCTCTTTCTCTTTTTTAAATTTTATTTTGGGACATGGTCTTGCTGAGTTGCCCAGGTTGGATTCATACTTGTGATCCTCCTGCCTCAGCCTCACAAGGATCTGGTATTACCTGTGTATGCCACCATGTCTGGCAATACTTGTAGTTTTAATGTACACTTATTTATGACTGGATGAGCATCTTTTCAGGTTTCAGTGTCATTTGCATTTTAAAATTTGGCCTTTGTACATTTTTTTGGTGGCAAGTATATTTCTTATTAATTTTAAGAATTATTTTCATATTAGGTAAATCATCTTTTTACATCACATATATTACAAATATTTTCTCACAATTTTTCATTTTTAAATATTTTATGGTGTTTGTAGTCATACAGGATTGAAAAAATTTTTGGTTTAATATCCCTTGCTTATGTCTTCTATAATCACATAGAAGACTTTTCCAGGCTAAATTATAAAATGATTTTACTTTATTTTCTTATAATAATTTTAATTATATCATTAAACCTTTGATTCATCAGAATTTATTTTCGTATAAGAAGTTAGAAATGTCACTTTATACATGTATGTGCATGTGTGAGCCTGTGTGTGTTCTTCCACATAGCCATACCAGTGTCTCGGAATTATTAATTGAATGACGAATCTTTTCCCCACTGATCTACAATGCCAAATTTCTGTATGTTTAATTCCTCTTTGTATGAGAGCCTACTTCTAAAAAACTCCTCTTTTTTTCATTTATTTTTTCCATCAGTCTTCTAATGCCAGACTTATGTTGTTTTAGTAAGTCTAGTTATTTTACCTTTCTGAAGTTTCTTGTATAAATGCACTTGTTTAGTTTTCATTGAAACTTAGAATTAGCTTTTTCAGTCATAACTCCCTTCTAAATTTTATTTATTTTTCTGGGTTTGTGGAGATACTATACAATAATATATAGAAGATTATCTTTTTTTGTAAATGTTTTTTGAAATCAAGTATATCTAAACTCAAGACTGAGATGCACGATGTTCAAGGCTTGGTGCCTTACAGTACCATTTTTTCTTCAAGTATCTTTCACATTTCTTTACATGTTTATTATAATTAGTTTGATTCATTGTTTGGTCTATCATAAATGAAGATATTTCTCCATTCTGTTTACTGGTTAATGTTTTATACAAAAAGATTACTAATTTTGAAGTATCAGTATTGTACTCAATATATGAATTTTCATACTAGAAATAGTTTAAAGTTTTCTGCATTACTAAATAATCATACATATTTTAAATATGAACAATTTATACAAACATTCATAATTTATATTAAGAAACAATTTCTAAATCTATATTTCTTTTTTTCCCTTAAATTCTTGTATTGGTACATTTTAGGTATACAATACACTTACATTTATCATTGGGTAGTTGTACCTGTTCACGATGTATCTTGGTTCTTATTTTTTCCCCATTCCCTGTCCTCCCTTCACCCCCTCCACCCTTCCCCATTCACAAAGACCTTGTTTCCACTTTTTCCTTTTCTTATAATTTTTCCTTTCCCTTCTTTCCTTTCACCTTCCCCTCCCACTTCCCCTACTGCTTTGGACCTTTTCTTCCTATTTCAAATTATCAGTTATTCATTTAATCATTTTAATCCTTATTACATTTTGTTTCTCACACCAGAGAAACCATTTGGTATTTACACATGTGTGTCCTATTTATTTCACTTAAGAGTATTTCTTGATCTATCCAAAGTTTGCCCTCCACAAGGGACATTCTTGCCTCTTAAAAACTTACTAGGACAGCTATTAAAGAAGAGGAAGGGGGCCCTGGGGATTTAGCTCAGTGGTTTCGCCGCCTGTTGTGGAAGCGCAAGGACCCGAGTTTGATCCCTGGTACAAAAGAAAAGAGGAAGGGGGTCATAGGGAAGGGGAGAGGAAAGAGGAAGCAGAGAATGAGGGGCAGGGGGAAGAATGATAAAAGCATGTTAGATAGCATGTACAAAAACACCAAAATAAAAACCGCTGTTTTGTATAACTAATATGCAGTAATGAAAACCTTGCATTAATTTCTTCTGCCATCATCACTATCCATTTCTCCTTTAGTGTAAAAACTCATAATTAATGAAAGTTAGTAATTCAGGAACAAGGCAAGAATGTCCACTTTGACCACTGTTGTTTAATATAGCTCACAAAATTCTAGCTAGAGCAATTAGGCAACAGAAAAAGGGGTACAAATAGAGAAGGAAAAAAGTCAAATTATCCTTTTTGGCAGATGAGATGATCCTGTACTTAGCAGACCCTAAAGACTTTACCAAGACTTTTAGAGGTAATAAATGAATTCAGGAATGTACCAGGATATAAATCAATCAGCACTAAACAATCAGTAACTTTAGTATATACCAATAATGTACTAACTGAGAAAGAAATCAGAAAAACAATTCCATTCACATTAGCTTAAAAAATACCTAGGGATAAATCTAATCAAGGAGGTGAAAAACTTCTACAATGAAAGTTTCAGAACACTAAAGAAAGAAACTGAAGAAGATATCAGAAGATGGAAATACCTCCCATGTTCATGGGTTGACAGAATCAATTTTGTCAAAATGGCCATATTACCAAAAGAAGTCTACAGATTCAATACAATCCTCATTGAAATACAAACGACATTCTTCACAAAACTAGAACAACAATTCTAAATTTATATAGAAACACAAAAGACCCAAAACATGCAAAGCAATCCTAAGCAAATAGAGGATAGCTATAAGAATTGCAGTATCCAATTTCAAGTTACTCTACAAAGCCATATAGCAAAAGCACCATGATACTGGCACAAACATATACTCAGATGAATGGAACAGAATAGAAGGCACAGAAACAAGCCCACACAAAATACTGATTCTGGACAAAAGAGCCAAAAGTATAGGTTGGAGAAAAGTCAGCCTCTTTAATAGGTGGTGCTGAAAAAACTGGATATCTACTTGTAAAACATTGACACTAAATCCCTCTCACACTATACAAATATCAACTCAAAACAGATCAAAGATATAGGTATAAAATCTGAAGTTACTAAAAAAAAGCATAGAGGAAATACTTGAAGCCCTTGGCATGGGAAAAGACTTCCTGAGTAGGATTCCAAAACCACAGGAAGTAATAGGAAGAATCAACAAGTGGGACTATCTCAAATTAGAAAATTTCTGCACAGCAAAGGAAACAACTACCAGAGAGAAGAGGCAGCCTACAGAATGGGAGAAAATCCTTACCAGCTATTCTTCTGACAAAGAATTTATATCTAGGATATACAAACAACAAAAAAGCCACCAAAAAAATCACATAGCCTAATCAGTAAGTGAGCAAATGAATTGAACATACATTTACCAAAAGAAGAAGTACAAATGGCCAATAAAAGGGGTGATCAAAATATAGTGAATGTTTAAAAATGTTATTAGAGTAGAAGACACATTGGCATTAATCCTCCTCAAAATACTCCTCCTTGCTTCAAACACACTTACTTTACTGCTCTTGCCACGATCTGAAGCAGTTAAGAAGTCCTCTTTTTTCAGTGTCTTTACAAAGTGTGATTAAAAATATAGTGAATGATTCTGAGTGTCATCTAATGGAGAGACAGCATCACAGAAATATTACAGTGTGTCCTCATTCACCTCATCCACAACATCTGGTACCATATGACTTTTCACTGTTCCCCAAAGTAAAAATGACCACAAAAGTAAATATTTTGAATTAATTCAAGACATCAAGGCACTCATGACAGCACAACTAAAGGCACTTATGAAAAAGGACTTCCTGAACTGCTTTAGAACGTGGCAAAAACCAATGGAAACAGTGTGATCTTAGTGAGGGGGAGTATTTCCAGAGGGATTAATGGCACAGTGTCTTTTGCTGTAATATTTTTTGTAAATTGAAACATTTTTTGGATCACATCTTGTAAGCATATGAAAAAATTTCAACATCTTTAGCCACTAGAGAAATGCAAATCAAAAGTACACTGAGATTCCATCTCACCCTAGTCATAATGGATATCATCAAGAATACAAAAACCAACTAATGATACTGAGGATGAGGGCTGTAGAGGGAGAGGCATCCTTCTACACTGCTGATAGGAATATAAATAAATTAGTAGAGTCACTATGGAAATCAGTATAGAGATTCCTCAAAAAAAAATAGTTACCATGTGTTCCAGCTATGCTACATTTTTGCGTATACCCAAAGCAGTTAAAGCCAGCGTACTATAGGTATACATTCATATCCATATTTATTGTAACACAGTTAACAATGGCCAAGATATGGAACCAGCTTACATGCCCATCAACAGATGAATGGAAAAAGAAATGTATATAAATATATACATATATATCACAGTTTATATATATTGTACATGTATTACACACACAAACACACACAATAGGTCATTATCCAGCCAGAATGAAATTCTGTCATATGCAAGAAAATGGATGGGTGGATCTAGAAACCATTATTTATTTATTTATTTTTTGTACCGGGGATCGAACTCGGGTCCTTGCGAACTCTTGGTCCCCGGCCCAAGAAACCATTATTTTGAGTAAAATAAGCCAGACTCAGACAAATATTGCATGTTCTCTCTTCTATGTAGAATTTAAAAAATTGACATGATACTAGAAGGGAGATTATTAGACAAGAGGAAGGGAATAAGAGAGAGGGGGAGGATGTAAGAGCAGGTAATGGGGGGATGGATATGAGCAAAATATATACATTAAATCACCCCAAAATAGAAAAATAGCAGGAGGTGGGGCAAGGGAATGATGGGAGGGTGAAAATGATCATTTACATTATGTATATGTATGGGTCTGCCAAAATAAAACCTATTTATCTTAATAAACAATAAAATGAGTGAAAAAATTAATGGTAATAAGAAATCAGTCTTCTGACTTCCAAAAATCCAAAAGGATTTTTGGCAATTATTTAGACATGTCTGAAGAAGGGCTTGCTGGGAGAATGCTGACAGGATATTCCTCATCACTCCTGACTGAATCATCTGCACAGCTGAGTACTCACTATCTCCTCAGCTTTCTTTTTACTCTGCATGAAATGTCATTCTCTCTAATGGCTTCAAGTAGTACTTCCAAGTGGATGAATTCCAAATTACTCTGACCTTTATGTACCCATTATTTAATTCTAATTATGAAATAGAATTGTCCTATTGAAAGTCTACACTGGTATGTTTGAAACAGAATTAATCACATTCACCTTAAGCCCCTCCCCAAGTTAAGACAGTTCACTGAGGCCCTGATAACTCTGGTTCTTGGGGGAACCTAGGATTTTAAATAGTCAAGAGTAAGGCTGCTACAAACTGAGTTAACCTGCCCATTGGAGAGAGAATGGAATGAGGTTAAGAGAGAGGAATGAGAGTTGAGTATTAACAGAATTACATTTCCATCTGGAGGATCTGGTCCTAAGTGTAATTGGTACCTAGGTACTTGCAGACCATTTAGAGCCAATTTTTTTCCATTTCTGGACCATGGATACTTTTTTAGGTTCCTAGGTTGATTCATTTCTCAAGTGCATTTGCAATTGTGACTTGGCTAGGCCAAGATTAGTTTGGGAGCTGGAGTGGGATAAAACTAGGAAGCAAAGGGCATATGTAGATATGGACTTAAGAGACAGAAAAGACAGGAGCAGAAAGATAGTTTTTTTAGAAAAAAGAAAAAGCCAGCAGATAGTCCAATACACTCCTTTGTCTTCAAACTTGACTTTATTGACTATTATATCTGCAATTCTATACTTCTACTCACCAGATTACTTAGTTCTGGCTAGCTATTTTCCTCTTTCATACATAAACTTCCTTTTAATTTAATACTCCAAAATGTATAATTTTTCAATGTAAAAACTTTTTTATCTAGTTTATGTTGACAGTATTCAAAGCTTAGGCAAATACTCATATACTCAGGCATATACTGAGTATATGCATATACTCAGAAAGGCATGTACTCAGTACAGATGAGGAATTGAGACTTGAACATTTAATGTTTTAATAAAGTTAACAAGCGATGGAACATAGCCTAGAGCCCCTGTTTCCTCAGTTGTAATCAAAAGACTTTTTTCCACCACTTAGTAACTTCATTAGAACATTACTTAGATTCTTAAATCCTGGTTTGCCCATCTGCCTTTTCACATATGACAAGTTCCTTCTCCTAGGCCCACTGTACTGCTCCATAACATAGGCATCATGATGGCCAAAGACAGGATTACACTCATGAAATACTGCTTCTGCCCTTAGCAGAAAACAGTACCTTGGGTGGCTGTAAGCACAGTACCATCAGTCAGTGCTAAGTGACCTCGGTCTTAAAACTGTACAGATGAGTTAATCTCACTGGCTTTCTGTTCCTAGTTAGCATGTATCTGTGGGAAGTTTAGAGTAGCTTTCCAAGATCATTTAGCCTCAGGTTGTAGTGAAGAAGGATGCAATCTAGAGAAAGTTTACATGGAAACAACTTAAGAAAAAGGCTGTAAAAAAGAAAAAAAGGCTGTGGACTGGGGACAACATGGGGGAATGGTGAATCTGTAGCTGGTGGACAGATGGCAGTTCCTGTGTTGGAGACCTATGCATGTACAGAACATCTATGGTGGAACATCCATCTGCATGAATTTAAGATCCTTTTGGGTCCTTAAGGTCTGAACGAAAGGCCAATCGTGTTAACCAAGTTCATAGTACCTTTGACAGGAACAAGATAAAATGTTATACTTTACACTTGGCTATGATTCTGCATTTCTCCTGTTATTTTTCTTCCTATAAATTAGCCTTAGGTAAAATGTGTGCATCCGTCTGAACAGAAAAAACTTCAGATAGCCCACAGCTTTCAGGTAAGGCTGTCCTTTGAGCATATTTACCACTGATGGCCTGAAAATAATTGGGAACTAACCTCACCATCTTTGGAAATGTTCTTCATGTAGGGGATTGTTTTAAAACCAAATTAAATCTCAGCATGGATTTCTAATGCTATCTTTTAAATAAATCTAAATGCAGATTGATTTACAAAGACTGTTTTCAAGGTATTTAATGCATTGGTGACATTTTATGGAAAAGCAAATCATAGGAATCGGCTTTTGTAAGTGTGGCTGCATCAAGATTGGCAGATAAAATCAATATAATTTAGCCAACATGTTGTCTGCAGTCAAACAAAAAGTTAAAGTTTCTTTTCTTTATCTGGCCAATTTAGTTTGGGGAAAATAAAAAAATCCCATTTTAAATTCAGATACATTTTAGTATCTAAAGAGTGTTACTCAACACTATCTTGTTTTTGGTTTTGTTTGGTACCAGGGATCGAACTCGGGTCCTTGTGCTTGCAGGGCAGATGGTGGAACCACTGAGCTAAATCCCTGGCCCAACACTATCTTGAATTTACTCATTACTGAGAAGCTGTAGCATATTTACTTTATTTTCTTGAAAAATATACAAATGTGAGAAGAGAAAAAAAATTAAATGGCATTTAAAATGTTGAGAAAAAAGTGATTATCTGAAATAGGCTCACATTCTTCTTGCTTTTCATTGTATATTATTTTACCTGTACACTTGTTATAATTTAAAATTACAGATATCAGGGGGAGAAACTGCAGATAGATGAATTTAGAAGGCTGTGCCAGTCACAATAGAAGAGATAAGTGATTGAATAAAATTGCAAACAACTTTCCATTAGGACTATGGAATTCAGCACAACACTTTGATTTGTCTTTCAAAGCCCAAAACAAAATGAAAAACTAGGTGATTTAAAAGGAGCTAACAGCCAGAGACTAGGGAAATTTAAACCTGTGCAAAATTAACAGCTATTTTAATCCTTGTGGCAATGCAGGGAACAGATTTCTTTTAGGACATTATTGTATTTTGTGCTCTGATATCAAACACAGAGAAGTCTGCTCAGCATGACAGCATTTTCCTCCTCATAAATTTTAGCATAAATTAAAGGAAAAGACCTCTGGCCTCCAAGAAGTATCAGTAGGAAAATGAGGCATATTCTACTTGCGTTCTTAGCCCTGAAACCCATCCCATCCTAATTCCCCTGTGTATGTATCTCTCACCTCTCAGCCTTATTTCTTTCTCCTACAACCCTCCCCAGTCACTCTCAGCTCCATTCCTTGTGTGGCTGCTGTAGCCTAGTGCGCCTTCTGTAAGTGGGCCGATTTCAGGTTGGATTGCTGTTGCTCCAGACAGTAGCTTCTCGAGCTCTCCCAGTGCTCCTGAGAGATTAGAACATGAGCTGCCATTGCATTCTGTAGTCCTTCTCCAGAGATGTTGATCTGTTCAGCTGTAGCCCACTCCAACAATTCTCTTGCTACTTAGTATATGCACTATGCATGCTGGAGCAGGAACATGTGACAAGGTGGGTTGCAGGGGACAAGGATCTACAGTCCAAATGAAGCTGGCTCCCGAGAAAGCAGGGCATTCACTTTGGGGTGTGTGTGCATGGTGTATGAGCCCTCTCAGTGTCCACCATAGGACTTGCCAGGCCCATCTCAGGAGCTGAATTCCAATAGCTTGCAAGTTTTGCTGGTATTCATGATTTATCAGATAAATTTTGTTTGTTTAGGAAGCAGGGGAGCCTACACAGTGACAGTACATGCCAGAAAAGATGTGGAGATTTCAACATAAAATCAGGTTGTAAAATGAGAAAAGTAAGGGTTGTTGACAATCAAGTGATAGTAAGAAATGATGTGTAATTATCCAAGGAAAACTAAAACAGCCATACATTTAATTAGATGAATCAATAAAACTATCAGCTGTCCAGAATCCCTGAGGATTTATAATTTCTATGGGGCTTCTCTATGGTTTTAAGTATTCTGGGTGGATGTCATTCAAAATGCATTTCATGCTTTCCTGCCTTCTCCAAGTGCTAGTAAAATATTTTCCAGCTGTAGCAGAGGCATTTTTATGAACATGAGTTGTTACCCTCTGTGCAGTATCACAAGGCACCCATGTCATAAGCTTCCGGGACTAAGTAACCTAATGCTAAAAACACTGAAAATACATGTTCTTGTCATTGTTTGCTTTCTCTTGGTTTTCTGTCTCGTGATGTCATGGCTTTCTGGTTGTTACAGTACTAATAACTTTTTGATCTCTTTTAGTCTACTAATTCTAACCCTGTTTTGTCTTTTATTCAAGCCAACTGAACCTATTAGAATGTGCTTAAAAGTAAAAGTAAACAGACCCTGGAGTTTAAAGTGTAAAATTATCGCAATTCCTTTGGCTGATCACCTACCTCGTGGGCTTCTCCTAGACTCTTAGTGACATTTCTTGAGTATTGAGGGAACCCTTGCATACTGTTGGTGATAATGTAAGTTAGTATAGTCATGATGAAAAAGAATATGGAGGTCCCTCAAAAAATTAAAAATAGTGTTAGCAGCCATGTAGGTTTATATGCTTAGATTCTGCTTCAGCTCTTTTGCTCACCACTTACCAAATCAAAGGAGGCCCTATATTTTGGTAATAAAGAAGAAAGGATTTATTAAAAGCTAGCTCCAAGGAGACAGAGGAGCCTATTTCCTTCAGATCACCATCTCACTCTGTACAGGTGGGTAAGGGACCTTTATAGAAAGGAACAGAGTGGAGGAGAGCATAGAGAGCCAATGCAGATCCACAGCCTCACTTTATCACTTCCAGAAGTGTTTGGCTCATTGGTCCATTTCTTGTGGAAAGGACACTGGGCTCCTACCTTTTTGGCTAGCATCTGCATATTCTTTAACTTCATCTGGGCTGAGAGAAAGGGATGTTGATTTGTGCTCAGCAGGAGGAAGTTTGGAGAAATTGCTTATCTCACAAGAAAAAAAATTCTAAATTTTAAAGTTCTATTTTGCAGTTCTCCTCCTTGCTTTTGTCCAGCCCCCAGCCTTGAGGGCTTTGAGGTGCCACCTCCTCTGGCTGTCTCATATTGTACTGGCACACAGATACCATCAAAGGTAGCTGGAGCATAACCAAAAGAAAGCCAGAAATTTGAGCCTGAAAAAGCATCACTGAAAACTGAGGTTGAATAGAAAAGAAAGCCAAAGTGCATAGCTAACCATTATACCTGCTAGAAGAAGTTTGTTTGGAATGCATTTTTTTTTTCTTTTCTGAAGGCATTGCCAATTAACCATCTGCAGCCTTGTCCCTAGGTGCCATGGTAGCTTTGCCTAGTGATGGTTAGAATATGTCACATGTTGGCAGGGATGTGACAGATGATTAGAGTCAAGGTCATAAAGATACTTTTGGCCAAATTTGATCAATATCAGAGATTTAGAAAGAGTAGTTCTTAGGCTGACTTTATCTACAGTCCTTTGTCAAGTCTAACCTTAGCTATTTTGTAGTTGTAACTCTAAATCAGAACTTTGACAAATAGTTACAAAGCTTTCAAGCAAACAAAACAAGCCAACAAGAGCAAAGCAAGTCTAGTATATACAGTAGACTTGAACTAAGAAACACAGTGACCAAGTTAATTAAAGAAAGTCAATATTTCTATGAAGCAAGCTTATTTCTGCCAGAAGGTATATCATGTAAATACTTAAGAGTCCCTTGCTCTTATAAACAAATGTGAATTACCATTTTGGAGAAAGCACCACAATTTACTTATGCCAAGACCAAGAATTACAGTTTAGTAACACTTTCAGAACTTTTTAGACATACATACAAAATCGTAAATATTTTTTAATACATTGCACAAGGATTGACTTTTTTTTTTAACTTAGAACATAGTTTTGAGCAATACTGTTTCTTACCTACCAAGAAGAACATGGCTTTTGACTATAAGCAGTACACAAGGTAGCAATTTACCAAAACAATTTGTGAATTTTACAGCATATTAAGATAACGATCATGACTGTCTGCATTATACTAGGACAATTACATTTTTTAAAAATAAAGAAAATCACATAATAGTAGTTTCTGTAACCAGAATCATAAAACAAAACTTTAAATAGACATCTAAGTAAATATGAACTTCTTTTTTTCTTTTTTTTTTTACCAAGGATCGAACTCGGGACCTACTGCTTGCAAGGCAGGTGGCGGAACCACTGCACTAAATCCTGGGCCCAAATATAAACTTAAGACTTCATTTTCTTTAACATTTAATCTTAACAACAGTAGCAAATGCAAGAAATTATTTTGACAAATTTAAAAACCTCTTTTTAAAAGTTTTGCTTCAAATTTTACTAAGAACAGATCAATATCCTAAACCTTATTGTTTTAAACAAAGATTTTGATGTTATCCCTGTGTATTATAATTTTTTGAAAAAATATTTTTACAACAAACTGCCTCTGATTAGAAACATTTTACTCAAAATTTATACTGTTAACATATATGATCAATTTACAATCAAAATATAACTTTTGCATTATGATAAAATTACGCCACTCACAAATAGGTTACCAGTAGTTTTAAAACTTGTGTTTGTGTCCCAAACTGTGTCATATATAGATGTAAGCATTATATACCTAGAAAAGAACATAAACATACTTCAAACGGGAAAAGCCCACAATCTTTGTTTTTGAAACTTGCAAAGATTTTGTAAAAGCAAAGTGAGTTTTTAAAAACTCATTTTAAATATTTAAGCACAGACTGGACAGTAAAATAATAGCAATTTATTTATTACAAAGGATCGAGCAAGTCTTTTAGCATCTCTTAAAACTACTAGCATTCAGCCACATAAACACATTTATTAACAGACCAGGTAAGTTATAGCTATTAACCTTTCACCACAAAAGTTTTTTTTTTCTTAAAACCAAGTGTTACTAGAATATTAAATGAGTTGTGCTTATACACATTAACTTCAGATACTTT